CACATGACCTTGAAAGCACCTACGGACAAAGCTGGCTCTTTTGCTTAGAAATGGAGGTGGACAACAACCCCAGAGTCAGACACGACTGGACTTAATGTCAGAGGAAAACATTTACCTTTACCTACAGTTCCACCACATATGTAAGAAGGTGCCTTTTTCCGTTTCACATTCCTAGGTGCAAAGGTTACTGCAGATGCAGACTGTGGCCAGGAAATCAGAAGACTCTTACTTCTTGGGAGGAGAGCAATGTCCAATCTCGATAAAATAGTAAAGAGTAGAGACATCAGACTGGCAACAAAGATCCGCCTAGTCAAAGCCATGGTATTCCCTGTAGTAACCTACGGATGTGAGAGCTGGACCTTAGGGAAGGCTGAGCGAAGGCAGATCGATGCTTTTGAGCTGTGGTGTTGGAGGAAAGTTCTGAGAGTGCCTTGGACTGCGAGAAGATCCAACCAGTCCATCCTCCAGGAAATAAAGCCCGACTGCTCACTGGAGGGAAAGATACTAGAGACAAAGTTGAAGTACTTTGGCCACATCATGAGGAGACAGGAAAGCCTAGAGAAGACACTTATGCTGGGGAAAGTGGAAGGCAAAAGGAAGAGGGGCCGACCAAGGGCAAGATGGATGGATGGCATCCTTGAAGTGACTGGACTGACCTTGAGGGAGCTGGGGGTGGTAACGGCCGACAGGGAGCTCTGGCGTGGGCTGGTCCATGAGGTCACGAAGAGTCGGAGACGACTGAACGAATGAACAACAACAAATGCACTTTATAGTTCTTTATACATATGTAATCTATGTACATACATAACAAAAACGCATAGCTAAAATAGGACTGCTCTGATCTTCAGCTCTGCAAAAAAATGAAAGCTAATGCATTTTATGCCGATTACCTTGTCAGGACGTCCCTATATGATATAAATCAAAGACGCCTTTGACATTGTGTTTAAACCTCTGTACAACTGAATAAATATAAGGCTACAACATATATTTTAATCTCAGGTGTTATTTTAGCAAGAAAAAGTGACGCCTGGTTGCTTTTTCTTTCTTTCTGACCCAGAGTGAGCAGCCCTGGTTGTTTCCTTACATACACTAAGCATTTTTTTGCCTTACGGTTCAGCCAACTCCATGGTTTTTATTTTCCTTTAACGGAGGATATTTTCCCCTGATCGAATGCATGGCTGTATTTGTTCTGGATTGTTCTGGATCTCAACCAAACCTCCAATCAATCATTAGGGTCAAAATAAAAATAGGTGGGAAAAGTCTCATTCAGAGCATAGAACAAGGGCAAGGATCATGAAACAGAAATGAAGATGGTTTGAGACGTTTCCCCGAGAAGGAGCCAAGCACATTGGCCTCTTGGCTTGAGCTAATTTGAAATAAACAAGCTCTCAAAGGCATTGTGCAGTGACTGGCAGGGATATTGAGACATCCTGAGGTCCGGCGGGGATCTCCCCTCCTTCTTCCTTTTGCCTTTCCCATCAGATGTACAGATTGTCCTCCGGCAGATGCTCCCACAGCCGTTCCAGACACGGCTGTGAGGTCACTGGGACGCACACAAACACGCTCCTTTGCACTGAAATCTATGGGCAGAACATACTGGGAACAGATGAAGTAAATCCGGCTCAGTTACAAGGCAGCAAGGCCCTAAACAGCGCCCAACCCACAGCAACAAACCAGGGGCCGTATCGAGGGGAGAAAGAAGGGTGCTTCTTCCTTGGAAAGAGAGAGGCACACAGTTCTTCCTTTGGCACCTGTTTGGCAAGAGTGGTTTCCATTAGACCAGGATTTGGATAGGGAAATAGGGGTTACCATTTATCCTTCAACGACCTGCAAAATGCATTCAAAGAAGTTTGAAATCTGGGATGCAGAAGGTTTCAAGCGAACCTGGATTGGGATAGGAAAACAGAGGTTGTCCTTTGCCCTTCAATCGTCTTGAAAAGTGAGTGCCAATTTAGGATTCCGGAGGTTTCAAACATACTGGAATTCAGATAGGGAGGACAAAGTTACTCTTTACCCTTTGAATGGCTTGCAGGATGTGTGCCAAGACCTTTGAAATTTAGGATACAGACAGTTTCAAACAGACCGGGATTTGGGTTGCTGTGAGTTTTCCGAGCAGTATGGCTATGTTCCAGGAGCATTCTCTCCTGACGTTTCTCCTGCATCTATGGCAGGCATCCTCAGCGATTGTGAGGTCTGTTGGAAACTAGGCAAGTGGGGTTTATATATCTGTGGAATCATGTCCAGGGTGGAAAAAAGAACTCTTGTCTTTTTGAGGCAGGTGTGAATGCTGAAATCGGCCACCTTGACTGGGATTTGGATAGGGAGACAGAGGTCCCTCCTTTACCCTTCAATACTACATGAAATATGTACCAAGAGCTTTGACATTTGGGATTCAGAAGGCTTCAAACAGACCGGGATTTGAAAAGGGAAACAAATTACTTTTTACCCATCCTTCAGTGCCCTGTGAAATACATGCCAAGAACTTTGAAATGTGGGTTTCTGAAAGCAAAAAAAGTCAGGTTCCCTTATTTATTTATTATATTTATTTATTTACTATATTGATATACCACCATTCTCAGTCCGAAGGTGACTCAAACCATTCTCTGTTCAGTGACAGCTAGGTTTACTGAGAAAAGTACCTAGGAGCTCAAACTAAAATGAAACATATCAGAGAGCTAAGGTTATAGATTTTCATGGACATCCCTTTTATCCTCTGTGTTCACAACATGCTGTTTATGGCTTCTGGGAAGCCAAAATTTGAACATGCAAACACAGAAATGCTGGAATATACAAAAATCTGATACAGATCATGTCATGTATTAAAAGACATGGGCTGAGGCTGTGATACAGGAAAGAAACAATAGATAATGAGAGAAAGGTCTTGACGAACATGCATGGAACACCTCCTTCTCCCCAAGAAGAAGCCCTGAACCCTGATCTCTGTGGGCCCAGGGTCGGATCCATCTCACTCCTATTGGGACCCCAAGTTCGCCTTTGGTATGAAGGGCTGGGAGTGGGAAGGAGAGCTGCTGGAGATGAGAGGAGAGCAAAGACAGGCAACGATGAGGAAACCTCGGGGAATCTGTACCTGCTGCCAAGAACGAAACCCTCCCATTGTTCCGAGGCCTCGCGTACCCTCCATTAGTTAAAATAGAACGTCTAATTATTTCTGCAGTTGGGTATTTCTATTAAAACGTGCGCTGAAATACAAAACGTCAAGCTAATAGAACACATGTGGAGGTACAGAGAAAGAGAGAGAGTTCTTTTTGGCAGGATTTTGCTGGTTCCATGGACTATCATGCCAGAAAAACAAGACCGAAATTCAATGCAAGTACCAGGACAAAAATAAAATAAAATAAATCAAAAAGTACAGAGGGAGGGGAAGACTGAGGGAGAAAGACACACAACGGGTGACATATTGCAAGAGACACTGAGAATAACAAATATTAGGCGAGCTGGCCTTTTGGGAAACCCAGAAGAATGACATTTTATAGGTAGGACTTGACAGGAGCTTCCTGCTTTTTGTGTGATCTCATGACAATTCCGCCCTTTTTGATTTGACAAAGTGGGCTGAAATCCTCATAGTATTGTGAGGGTTGTTCTCATTATCTGGTTGTCTGACTATTGGTTTCTTTCCTACTTTGGTGGCAAGGTTGGGTTTCCCATTCTTCAAGAGTTGGTGTGCTATCTGATCTGCTTTGCTACTCTGCTGCTGAGTACGCATGCCCAGTGTGGAACACATCTCACCACACTAAAACAGTGGATGTGGCTCTTAATGAGACATGTCGCATTATCACGGGGTGTCTGCGCCCTACACCACTGTTTAGCCGGTATTGTAACACCTGACATCCGCCGGGAAGTAGCAGCCAATAGTGAAAGGACCAAGGCAGTGACATCTCCAGCTCATCCCCTGTTTGGGTATCAGCCAGCACGTCAGCGACTTAAATCAAGAAATAGTTTTCTAAGATCTACAGAGACAGTAGCTGGAACACCCCAGCAAGCGAGAGTCCAAAAGTGGCAGGTTCAAACCCAGAACCTCTATCAATGGCTGATACCAAATGAGAGACTCCCCCCTGCGCACACAGAAAACTGGGCGACTTGGAAGGCACTGAACAGACTGCGCTCTGGCACCACAAGATGCAGAGCCAATCTTAAGAAATGGGGCTACAAAGTGGAATCCACGACATGCGAGTATGGAGAAGAGAAACTACAGATCATCTGCTGCAATGCAACCTGAGCCCTGCTACATGCACAATGGAGGACCTTTTTATAGTAACACCAGAGGCACTCCCAGTGGCCAGCTACTAGTCAAAGGACATTTAATCAACTACCAAGCTTGCAAACTTTGTGTTTTGTTTGTTTGTTGGTTTAAAAATGCAATACAACTGTTTGGCTTGCTCCTGACACAATAAATAAATTGTGAGGGTACACTGATAGTTTGGCACATAGTTTCTCAATGAACTATAAGCATCCTTGGTTTTAAAAAAAGTCATATTCACAGGAGAAAGACTGAGGAATAATTGTGAAATATGCCCTGGAACACAGGGCACAGTGTCCCATGATCATGAACCCTTGCTAGGTCCCCAGAGAACAGCCAAAAAACAACCATGTTAGCATTTTCTGGAGTAAATAAAAAGCAGATGTGGAAAGCCTTCCTTTCTCACAATGAAGATTAAGTCAAGCAACTGTTATCATCTCCGCATCACGCGTCCCCTTTTCTGCCGAGTCTGGTGACCACATCTGGTTACGCTAACAACTGATGATAAGAAAAGGCAACATCGTTCTTGTTTAGCGCGATGCCAAGAGAGTCCAAACTCATGGAAGCGTAATGTGAAGGTATACAAAGATGTCAGATAGGCTACATTCACTTAACATACACATTTGTTTACATGAAAACATCGTATTCTGCCCAGTCTTATGAGTCAGCGGACAGCCTGCGCTTCCGAATAAGAGCAGGCAACAACAGAGCTCAATCTGAAAGTCAAGAAATGCATTCCTACCTGACCATCTTGTCCGACGTGAACCTGGTGTATCTGCAGGTTACCCTGTAAAATAAAATATACCAATTTGTATTTTAATGTCCATGTGAACCACACAGAGGGCTATATGCTTAGACTTTTCCACAATGATAATCTGTAGAAATTCACCTGCTATTCCAAGTGGTTTGTAGTTTCTGACATACTAATTTATGCAATGCTTTTGATATGAAATAAATAAATAAAATAAGTTCCTGACATATAAAGACATTTTCAAACTTTCTCAAAATTAATGGCAGACAAGCATTTGCTTTAAGCATGCTCCCTACTGCGAGCCTCCAGAGTGTACCAAGAAAGACATAATCTAATAAAATAAGTAAATGTGGTTGTTGTTTTTTCTTTTTGTTTATTGAATTTACATCCCAATGCAAATTGGGATGAGAATGAACAAAATTTACACCCTAGTGTAAACCCTGAAAATGACCAAAATCTGGTTACCAGTATTTTAAAAAACTCTAAAATCAGGACAGTAAATAAAGAACAACACTCTGAAAACAAGGGCATTCCAGACAAGAAACAATCAGGGCCAGCTAACACCTCCCCAGGCAGGAATCAGCCAAGCCTCGAAGCTGCAAGGCATTGCAATGATAATCCAGGTGATTAATTGCAACATTCGCATCTGCCATCAACAGACAAGAGTTCTTTCTCCCACCCTGGATCTTCCACAGATATATAAGCCTCCCTTGCTTAGCTTCCAATATACCTCAAAACCTCTGAGAATGCCTACCATAGATGATGGCGAAACATCCGGAGAGAATGCTTCTGGAAAATGGCCATACAGCCCAGAAAACTCACCGCAACCAACTTTCAAATATTATTTTAACTACTTATTTCTCCCCTCTCCACCTGGCTATGATGGGTCCTGATTCCTATGCACAACACGCACCATTATCCTCAGTTCTGAATGATAATTCAGATGCCCTTTACTCTGCACAAGCCTTTGGCTATTCTGAATTCTGAATCATATCTCCTACAGTTACAGAGAAGCTCTCAGAATTGCAACTCCTCCAAGCAAACAGTTCGGCTGCTGTTTTATGAGGAACAACTAGCCATCTTCCTTAGTATTTCAGACTTATCTTTCCATATATAGGAGCAAGAAACTTTTTTGCTGTTTTGAATAAAGGCAGAGATCCCCAGGTTGCTAAAACACATACCCCTATGAGAAATTCTGCACTGATGCAAAACATGGAAAGCCTTGGCACTGATTCTCTGGAAGACAAGGTCTACTTGGCATAATATTTCTTCTGAGGCAATTCTTTTAGTTATTTTCTTTGCTTGTAATGCATATATCTCACTTTTCTTGCAAGGATCTCCCAAGGATTCTCACAATTTGATGAGTTAGGTCTGGCTAAGAGAGTGACTGATCCAAGGCCTTTCCAAGGGGCTTCATGCTTCAACACAGACCGGAAACTGGGCTTCCCAAGTATAAGTTTAATATTCAAAGACAAAGTTTAATACCGGGACTGTGGCACAGCTGGCTGGGAATCAGCTGCATTAAGACCACTACTGACTGCAAGGTCATGAGTTCGAAGCCAGCCCAGGTCGGAGTGAGCTTCCAACCAAAATTGTGTAGCTTGTTGTTGACCTTAGCAGCCCGAAAGATAGTTTCATCTGTCAAGTAGGAAATTTAGGTACCACTTATGTGGGAAGGCTAATTTAACTGATTTACGAGGCCATAAAAAATCTCCAGGAAGTATGCAAAGAATGAGAAAGTACTGTTGTGACTCAGCTTGACTCTGAGTCTGAAGCTGAGCCCTGTGGGCTTTGTGAGTCAGAGTTCCTCCAAGATGATGATGAGGATGATGGGTTACAGATTTCTGTTCATGCTTCAGACAGTGTTGACGGTGAGGTTGCAGAAGGGGAAACAGCAAGTCAGTTATCAGGGGAAAAGAATGTCAGTGAGAATGATAACGAGAGTGAATTCCCACACGGCCAGGTAGAGATGTCTTTGCCTCCTTTGCCTTCTCATGGTGATCCGGTCCAGCTGCTGGACCAAGATGATAAGAGAGCCTTGAAGATAACGAATTAATGAGCAGGCAAGATCATCTGCAATTAAGGGTCCGGAGAAGCTCTTGCTTGGCAAGCAAGCGAGAAGCCAAGTGTGCCAAAGGTCAACGCAATGCGTTCATGTCTGCAAAGGGTATTTAGCCTTCTCACTGACACACAGGCGTTGTCAGTTCAACATGGCTCTTTCCATGCAAACTTCTATGAATTAACTTTGGCCTTAAGCAGCACGCTTCTGGCTTCCTAAGTCTGGGATTTTGGGTTCTTGTGTTCAACTGTTTTTCATGGACTATTGTTTGACCATTGCTTAAAGGATTATGTTTCATGTTTTTGCCTTTGGATCTTGGGAACTGTGTCTTTGCATTTAAGCCTTTTGTGGAACTTTGCATTTCTCATACTATGTTTTGACTTTGGCTTTTCTTCAATAAACTACAAAATCTACATTTTTGGTGTGGTGGTGTTTGAGAGCAAGATGAAAACTACTCTGAGTTGCAACAAGTACTTCATCAGTGTCACAACCGGATGGTGAAGGGACAGCTCCCCTGGTGGTCAGAAGCTGGAATGTTAAATAGCCTCTGAGTATTTGTCTATATATGTTGTGTGTCTATGGCATTGAATGTTTGCCATGTATATGTACACTGTAATCCGCCCTGAGTCCCCTCCGGGGTGAGAAGGGCGGAATATAAATACTGCAAATAAATAAATAAACAAACAGACAAACAATGCTTTTTAATTCAAGGGCAACTTCGTAGCCTCATTTCTCAACAGCAGCCTTTCCCTAAACGACTCCGGCCCTGTTTACCTCTCTGAACGTATCCTCCCCTACGAACTATCAAGATTATTAAGATCGTCTGGAGAGGCCCTGCTCTCGGTCCCACCGGCCTCGCAGGCGTGTCTGGTTGGGACGAGGGACAGGGCCTTCTCGGTGGTGGCCCCTCGACTCTGGAACTCTCTCCCACTGGAGATCAGAACCGCCCCTTCTATCCTGACATTCAGGAAACAGCTGAAGACGTGGTTATGGAGACAGGCATTCGATAAGTGAGCCAGATATGGATGGAGGATGATGAACAACGAGTGACGACTGACCATTGTAGTTATTGAATATAATTGCTGTTTTAATGTTTTATTGTAAAATGAATTATTATGTTTTTATGAACTGTATGTAATATTATGGTTGGAAACCGGCCTGAATCCCTCAAGAGAGGTAAGAAGGTTGGTATATAAAACTTTTAAATAATAATAATAATTCCCTTCTACAAAACTTCTTGGTAGAAAGAGTAGGGTAGACATTCTCCCTTTCTGCAATGTTTTAGAATGTGCTGAGCTGTAAATAAAGAAGTTTTCTTGATTCCTGGCTTTAAAACCATAGCACTTTGTTGCCCCAATATACAAATCTGTAGACGTACTTCAAATCAATGTGTCTGTCAGCCTAAAATTAGTCGAGCAACCAGATAAAGCTTTGGTTGGTACAGTGCATGGATACTCTAATGGCTCCAATATCGACTCTATCAATGCTGTCATTTCTGCCAGCTGCCATGGCTTCTCCTTTTTATCGAAAAACCCTGTGTCTTAAGCAGACAAGGACTTCATTATGGAAACCACAAAAGGCAAAAGATTCTGAATTGCCGTCACTGATTTCGGAGAAGACTCCGCGTCTAGAAACATGAAAGGAGAAATGAAGCACAGGAAGGCATTTCTCCTTAATTTGCAATTAGGCCCTTGGAAACAGGCTGAATGAAAGGGAGGGCCGGAAAGGTAACTTTCCAAAGATGGTTTGCAAACAAAGAGGGAAAATGAGTCTTCTTCTACGGACAGAGAAAGCTGCCTTTCATCGCTTCAGATGCACTTTCTGCTGCCAGCGACGATCCTCTCCGTTCCAAAGGAGCTCAAACTGGAACGGATTCAAAACCAGATGTTTTCTATCCATCCAGATGAAACATGGACCTGATCCTTCTTCCTTCAGGTCCAAGGTTACTCCCTCTGAAGTCATGGGGCGAGCAACAATCGCCGGATTCTTCCTGTGTTTCGTTAACATCTCGAGAGGCACAACCTCCATGGAGTTGTCTTGAATGCACGCGGTTCAGGGTTTGCAAAAGGTCCTCCTTTGGACCACCGCCCCCAGAATCCCTTGAGCAAGTGTCTTCCAATCTCTGGGAAATATCATCTGCTTCCCCACAACTCCATTTTGGTTTTCAAACTGTATTTCTTCCGAGATTCTGCACTGATGCTTTTCAGCAAAAATAACCAACATTGCTGAATATGTCAGAAAGGGAAACTGCTTCATGGCTGCTCACTATAAAATATTACTCTTACGTATCTTCAAGTTGCTTCCAACTTATAATGATCCTAAGGCACGGCACAACAATAATCAGGCTTTCATGGCAAATTTTGTTCAGAAGAAGGATGCCGTTGCATTCCTCTGAGGCTGAGAAAGTGTGTATTGTTGAAGTTTTTCATGGCCTGAAACACTGCGTTGTTGTGAGTTTTCTGGGCTATCTGGCCATGTTCCAGAAGCATTCTCTCCTGACATTTCTCCCACATCTATGGCAGGCATCCTCAGAGGTTGAGGGATCTGTTGGAAACTAGGAAAATAGAGTTTATATATCTGTGGAATGTCCAGGGTGGGAGAAAGAACTCTTGCCTATTGGAGGTAGGTATGAATGTTTCAATTGGCTACCTTGATTAGCATTTAAAGGCTTAGCAGTTTCAAGGTCTGGCTTCTTACAGCCTGTCCTATGTATTGTTGAAGGCTTTCATGGCCAGAATCACTGGGTTGCTGTAAGTTTTTCGGGGTGTATGGCCATGTTCCAGAAGTATTCTCTCCTGCCATTTCACCCACATCTATAACAAGCCAAATAATAAATGTAATAAAAATACTAATAGAGTAAAATATTGGAAATGTAATAATAATAGTAATAATAGGGTAAAATAATAAATGTAATAACAATAATAATAAATAGAATAAAGTAATAAATGTAATAATAAGAAATATTGCAAAATAATAAATGTAATAATAATAACAATAAAGTAAAATAATGGAAATGTAATAATAATAGAGTAAAATAACAACTTTAATAACAATAATAAATGCAATAATAGCAATAGTAGAGCAAATTAATAAATGTAATAATAACAATAATAATAATAAAGGAAAATATTAAATGTAATAATAATAATAATAGAATAAAATAATAAATTTAATAAAAATAATTTTAAAAGAGTAAAATAATAAACAACCTTGACTTGTATATAAGGTGAGGGGGGCATTTTCAGCCTAAAACAAGGGCTGAAAATCTTAGCTTACACTCGAGTATATATGGTAGATTGGTGTATGAAAACTGCAATACAAGATGTCATTCTTAGTTTGCTTGGAAACTAAATGGGACTAGAAGCAAATCAAGCCTTAATTCTCCCTAGAAGACAAAACCACTAAGCTAAAGTGATTATACTTTGTGGGCCCTAAACACCTTCCCTCTATTTCAATGGTGCATGCATTGATGTACAGTAGCCATACTATAATAAGGAATAATCTCTACTCCTTGGTGATGGGTTAAGTTTTGCCCAGGCAGACGGCCTCTTTCAAGCTCACCTCGCTGTCCTGAGTGATCTGGACCTGCTCTCCTTGCGGCACCTGGGCGATATGAAGGTGACCCTGTGGGATCCATAGAGTGAAAGGAAAGACACATGAGACGTAACAGTCAGAACCAGAAGCATGACATGCGCTCAATACATCAGTCTGAAAAAAAGACTCTTGTTTCAGAATACTTGCTTCACCTATCTTTCAATGTAACTTCATTTTAAAAGCATACTGAATCCAGGGAGACAGAGGACTAATATATCCAAATCTCCTCCTTCTTAGTTTCTAGAGTTTTTTTCTGACTGTTTGTAATAATAATAAGAAAAGAATGCTTAAAATACGTGTAGAGAATTCGAACTGGTCTCCCGATGCACAGCCTGGAAACCATCAACTGGGGCACAACTCAGCTCCAGGTTTCAGGGTCAAACTCTTTAGCAAAGCCCCCGTGAACCCTCTCCAAGGGAAGGAGAATAAGCCCAATTTGTAATCCTTTCCCAGGATGTGAAATATGGGATAAACTTTTGAACATATATCCCACGTCGATAGTAAGAAGTGGACCTTGGCTTTTCAGTCTATTTTCCAACACCGAAGCAGATTTTTGCTCTTTTCTCCTTCCCTCAATGCACTTCGGGGTCCAAGAAATGCAACATTCTCATTTCGTATAAAGCTGCCTCTATGGCAGGTATGGGAAAACCCAGGCTCGAGGGATGAATGCGGCCCCTCGGGCTCTTTTCTCAGGCCCACCTCCATTTCACCATCTATCTTTCCTTCCTTCCTTCCTTCTTTTTTTTTCTCCTCCCATCCTTCCCTTCCTTCCTTACTTCCCTCTTTCTCCTTCTCTCCTTCCTTCCCTTCTACCCTTTCGTCCTTCCTTCCCTCTTTCTTCCCTCCTTTCCCCCTCTCTTTCTCCTTCCCTTTTGTCTTTCCTTCCTTCCATTCTTCCCTTCCTTCCTTCTATCCTTCCTTCTTCCTTCCATTCTTCCCTTTTGTCTTTCCTTCTCTCTTCCATCCCTCCATTATCTTCCACCCTTCCTTCCTTCATTCTCTCTTTCCTTCTGCCTTCCATCCTTTCCTTACTTCCCTGCCTCCCGCTTTCTCCTTCCTTCTTTCCCTCTTTCCTCCCTCCATTCCTCTCTTCTTCCTTCCTTCCTTCCTTCCTTCCTTCCTTCCTTCCTTCCTTCCTTCCTTCCTTCCCCTTTGTCTTTCTTTCCTTCTCCCTTTCCTTCCTCTATTCTCTTGCACCTTTCCTTCCTTCTCTTTTCCTTTCTCTTTTCCTCTTGGGAGATGTTTAGCTGTAGGAATAGAAATTAGAGAGGGAACATGAGAACCATGGGGGGAGGGGGGCTGACTTTCTGCTGCTCTAGAGACCAGGGCACGAGGGAGCAATGATTTCAAATGGCAGGGAAAGAGATTTAACTGATAAGATTAGGAAGAACTTCCTGGAGAGTGTCACAGGCTGCCTTGGAGTATGGTGGAGTCCCCTTCTCTGGAGGTTTTTCTGGAGAGGCTGTCTACTGTTGTGCCATGGCAGGGGGTTGGACTGGATGGCCCTTCCAGTCCGAGGATTCTAGGAATCTATATCAGGAGTAGGCAATGGTTCTCTCTCATCCACCAGCTCATCCTAATCAAGACCAACTCTTTTGAGATCCAATTTTTTTACATCTTTCCTTCACCTTTTGCCTTAAGGGGAGGAAGCCAACCCCGCTCTGGCCCAAGTTTTCTAACCCATGCCTCTCCTATGGTATTCCCTCCAGGCAACTGGTAAATCTAAGGGAATTTTATTACTTGAGTGCAGCAACCAAGAATCTTTATCAAATGTACCACTGATGGTGGAGGGATTGAGTCCTCCAAATAATTAGATACAGTACTGCTAATATGAGCTACTTATTTTTTATTACTAGATTTAGGAATGTAGTTTCCTAAAGCTTCATGATTATTGTGTTGATATATTTAATTCGTTTCCTGCCTTTCTTCCAATATAGGACCCAAGGCAGCTGACAGAGATAATTCTATTTTTTTTAAAAGTTAAAATAGATGTATTATTATTATTATTATTATTATTGACATTGCAACTATTAGGTGAAAAGCACAGCACACCTCATTAAAGGACCCTTCTGCCACTGTAAGTTAGGAGCCAAAGGGCTGCATAAAATGAAACTATCCTTGTTGAGAGACAGTTGGACAGAAACCTGCAAAAATCCTAAATGTCAGCTCATGTTTTATATTTCCAGGCCTATTTGAGCTATGTCTAGGCATACTCACCATATGGAATACTAACCTACAGATGCTACTTACACAGCCTCTGCATTTGTGAGAGGAACTGCCTCTGCTCTTTGCTCTCTGTTTCAACTCTATCTTGCACCAAAGGACAACGTTTCCAATGAGGTGGAATGGCAGCCCTCCAAGCGCTCTCTACTGAAGTCGTGCCAGCGGAGAATCTAGCCTGAAGAGTTTTAATTTTAAAGCATCCCTACTATACCTGGAGAACAATTTTGAGGGGAAGGAAATCAAACATACGCATCGCTAGATTTAACATGAAAGAGAGAGAGCGAGAAAGAAAAGAAGGTAAAAGAAGAAAGAAGTAAGAAGATGAGGAGGAAGAGGATGGAGGGAGGAAGACAAGAAAGAGGAAAAGTGTGGGAGGAAGAAGAAGAGGAGGAAGGGGAAGAGGAAGGGGAAGAGGAGGACAAGGAGGAGAGGAGGAGGAAGAGGTGGAAAAAGAAGAGGATGGAGGGAGGAAGACAAGAAGGAGGAGACGTAGAGGAGGAACAAGAAGAAGAAGGATATAAAGAGAAGGAGGAGGAGGAGAGGAAGAAGAGGAGGAGGAAGTGGAAGAGGATGGAGGGAGGAGGATAAGGAGGAGAAGGAAAGGAAGAAAAAGAAGAGGATGTAGGAAGAAGACAAGGAGGAAGGGAAGAGGAAGGAGATGGAGGAGGAGAGCAGGAAGAAGAGAAGGAAAGGAGGAAGTCCATCTGAACATGAGGAAGAACTTCCTGACTGTGAGAGCCGTTCAGCAGTGGAACTCTCTGCCTCGGAGTGTGGTGGAGGCTCCCTCTTTGGAAGCTTTTAAACAGATGCTGGATGGCCAAGAGGAGGACGAAGGGAACGAGGAAGGGGAAGAGGATGGAGGGACGGACGAGGACAAGAGGAGGAGGAGGAGGAGGAACGGAGGAAAAAGAAGAGGAAGACGATGGAGGGAGGAAGACAAGAAGGAGGAGAAGTAGAGGAGGAACAAGAAGAGAAGGAAGGGGAAGGGGAAGGACATAGAGAGGAGGAGGAGGAGAGGAAGAAGAGAATGAGGAAGTGGAAGAGGATGGAGGAGGAGGAGGAGGAGGGGAAGGAAAGGAAGAAAAAGAAGAGGATGGAAGAAGAAGAGGAGGAGGAAGGGAAGAGGAAGGAGATGGAGAGGAGGAGGAGAGGAGGAAGAAGAGAAGGAGGAAGGGGATGGAGGGAGGAAAAGAGGATGGATGGAGGGAGGAAAAGAGAAGGAAAGGAGGAAAAAGAAGAGGAAGAGGATGGAGGGAGGAAGACAAGAAGGAAGAGGAGAAGTGGAGGAGGAAGAAGAAGAGGAAGAGGAAAGAAGATGGAGATGGAGAGGAGGAGGAAAGGAGGGGAGGAACAGGATGGAGGAAGGAGGACAAGAAGGAGGAAGCGAAGTGGGAAAGGAAGGGGAAAAGGAAAGAGATGAAGAAGAGGAGGAGGCGGAGAGGAGAAAGAAAAGGAGGAGGAAGTTGAAGAGGTTCGCGGGAGGAAGACAAGGAGGAGAAGAGGAGGAAAAGGAAGGAGATGGGGAGAAGAAGGAAAGGAGAAAAAAGAGGAGGAAGAGGATGGAGGGAGGACATGGAGGAGGAGGAGAAGTGGAGGAAGAAGAAGAGGAGGAAGAAGAGAAGAAGAAAGAGATGGAAAGGAGGAGGAAGAAAAGGAGGAGGAGGAGAAAGAGGGCGATGAAAAAGGAAGAAGAAGAGGAAAAAAGAGGAGGGGAAGAAAAAGAAGAAAAAGAAAACGGCAGAGACCTCCTTGTGAATCTTAACTGGCCCTTTGCAAAGCGCGATTTTACCTGCTGGCAAACTGGCAGAGACTTTTGTTTTTTTAAAAGCCCTTTGTGTTCCTTTTCATCTGCCTGTGTATGAAAGCGAGATGAAAGATATCCCTGTGGAATCCCGTCAAAGGCCTCCCTTATATTACAACGCAGCCCCAACAATCGCCCATGCATTTCAAAAGACACACAGATCCTTCTCCTTTCAAACAGTTTCATTTCCTTTGGAAGGAAACGGTCTATTTATAGGGGGAAAGTGGCATGCGGAATGTATCAAGGCACGACAATAGGGACTGTATATAAAATTAGAGCCGCAGATCCAATCCATGTTGAGATTAGAATCTCCTTCCCTTCGCAATGTTTAAGCTCTCTCGTTCAAAGCATTCAAAACGTGGGTGTTTTTCATAATCTGATGAGAGCTGTTTGCAAGTCAACTCAGTTTGTTGGAGGCAAGTTCTCATGCCAACATGTTTTGATATGTGTTTGGATTCAAGTTGCCTGTGGGCTTATGGTGACCCTATGGAATTCACAGGATTTTCTTAGGCAACCCACCCCTAAAAGGCAAACAGGAGCTTTAAGGGGGTGGATTTCACTGCGGGAATTCAACCCATCCACAGCTATGTACTTGTCCGTCATCCGAACAGAACTATCCAAGAAATGCTGGATTTCTCTCCGATTCATTGGTGCCAAAGAGAACTGCAAGTACTTTTGAAACTCCTGAAAAGATCAGTGGGAGAGGAATGTCTTTTCTCTACTCAACTGCACAGAACATGCTTCATTTCCATGCAACATTGCTTTTGATTTAACGAAACGAAACAAAGCCAGAGAAGCCAATGGAAGCGCTTTGAGGCCCACGTTGTAATTCGGTTTTTTAAGTAATGGCAGAAGTGTCATGCTTGACTTTTAAACTTCCTGCCTTCTGTGGGTTTTGGGGTCAAAGTGTTAACTTTGTTTTAACTTTTTTTTTAGAGAGCGAAAGAAAAAAATAGAATTTGATGTCAGTGTTTATAAGCTTTGCTTATATACATGCATTTAAGTGGATACACATGTAAGGAATGCAGCTAACAGATGTCAAAAGACAAAAAAAAATACTTCGGAACGTACTTTGGAAAAAATGAGGGTAAATGAATCACAAATGGATTTCCAGATTTCCAGAGCTGGAGCAAAGGGGTGGGGGGTAATAAATGCATAATCCACCATGGAGCAAGTTCATACAACCCTAGTAATGTTCCATCAACAGAGGTGCCAAATTAAGACAGTCGCGGTGTCTTTTGGAACAAGAGAAATGCCACTTCGAAGCTGCCGCTAGGTGAAAGTAAAAGAGAGAAGACACCACAAAGAATGAGGACATACCACTTGGACCTGGCCATCTTCTCCAATCTGGTGGATCTGGACTTGCTGGGCATTGGCCAGAGCGTAGTGAAGGGCCTGCGGCTGTCCGCCCTGCATTTCGTTTGGGGCCGATGTTGTGCTCTGAGTGCTCTCTGGGAAAGAGAAAAGAAAACAGTTCACATTATCAGACTTCTATGTATATAATGAAAGTCAAAGTGTGGGTGTATATGTATGCATGAATGAATTTTATTTTAACGGTCGCAGAACAAGGCATTTTTAAATCAAAATAATAATAATAATAATAATGGGTTGTTGTAGGTTTTTTCAGCCTATATGGCCATGTTCTAGAGGCATTCCCTCCTGACGTTTCACCTGCATCTATGGCAAGCATCCTCAGAGGTAGTGAGTTCTGTTGGAACTAGGAAAATTGATTTATATATCTGTGGAATTTTTATCATGTCAGAAGCAAGTTGAGGGTAAAGTTAAAATGCATGTAAAAACACAAACAAAGCTTTAAAAAGAACTTGGCATGACGCTAGATTTCCTTTGACCAGAGTGCCTCTGGTGTTGCTGTGAGAAGGTCCTCCATTGTGCCTGTGGCAGGACTTAGACTGCATTGTAGTCTTCTCTCTTCTCTGCACTCACATGTCATGGACTTCACTTTACAGCCCCACTTCTTAAGATTGGTTCTGGATGTCGTGATTCTAGAATGCACCCTGTTCAACGCCTTCCAAGTCGCCCAGTCTTCTGTGTGCCCAGGGGGGAGTCTCTCATTTGGTATCAGCCATGGATTGAGGTTCTGGGTTTTAGCCTGCCACTTTTGGACTCTGACTTGCTGAGGTGTTCCTGCGAGTGTCTCTGTCAATCTTAGGAAGCTGTCTCTTGATTTAAGGTGTTGGCATGCTGGCTGATATCCGAACAGGGGATGGGCCAGAGATGTCACTGCCTTGGTCCTTTCATGTCAGGTGGTGCAATACCGGCTAAACAGTGTAATTTCTCTGGTGGTGTGGAGCTTAGACATCCTGCGATGATGCGGCATGTCTCATTAAGAGCAACATCCACTGTTTTCCACACTGGGCATGTGCATTGAGCAGCAGAGTAGCAGGTCAACTTTCACATGATATTGTTTCTAGCACCCACTTTTATTTATTTATTTATTTATTTATTTATTTACTATATTTGTACACCACTCTTCTCAGCCCTCGGGCAACTCAGAGCGGTTCACAATAGCAAAATTAAATGCTTAAAACATCATAAAACAGTTAAAAACAATTAAAACAATAGCATTATAACAATAAATTAAACATCATATAACATCTCATATCGTCTCATAGTTAAAATCAAGATCCAGTCTCATCATCCAATTGCCTGTTCTTAAGGTGGAAAGCACACATCTAGATGGATTTAGATGGATTAGGAATCAGCTAGTTTCCCCTATAATAGGAAGTAAGAGAACCTAAAGCTTTCGGAGAGCTTCTGCTCGACCATTGCAAAGCTCCCTACTTAAGCGGGTGTAAATATTAAAATGGGTAGGTTAAAACATTATCCTTTAAAATTGCCCACCAACATCCACAATCTGCCTCCTTATTTTGATAGCAGCACACAAAACTTAGTCACCCTAAGAGTGATCAATGAGTCCGTATCATCGATGAGATGTTTTAGATAGTAGTCGTCAGTTCTACCAGGTATCTTTCGTACAAATGGGAGTAATAAAAACAGCTCCAATATCTCTGTGAAAGTTACAATAGTCACAGCTTAAGCGGCTAAGGGGGGAAAGGAAAGGACCTGAGGCTATTAGGAATGGTGGACATTCAAAACACCTAGAGTTTGCCCATGCCTGGCATATATGAAACACAAATAAATTTCAGGTTCAGACTTGAGTCCCATCGCCAAAATATTATATTTGCAAATACTGAAAGAATCTGAAATACAAAACACTTTGGATCTCAAAGGGTTTCAAATACGGATACTCAGGCTAGATGATAGAAAAAAACAGAGAAAGACAATGTAGATTATTTCCAAGGCTTGGAACAGTTCCTTTTTTGGACTACACAACTCCTAAGCTCCTAGGAGTTCTACACCAAAAAAGTTAAAAAAAATGCAAGCTATAATTATTCCATAACACAAGAATGCAATTGATCCCGAATATGTTGCAAAAAGAGCAAATAAAAGCAAAACCAAGACCTGTAATAAATATTTGTTAAATTATCAAACTACAACAATATATTGTAAATTGACAAAACGGAAAGTATTTCTAGGGAGGGATATTTATAAATATATGTGTATCGGCATCTTTGTGTCCAGCTGCACAAACTCAGGCCTCCAATGCGCTCACATAATTCGTTTCCACCAGCTGCTTTATTAACCTATAAATGCTTCCAGATTATTAATTAGATGACTTTGTCATTTGTAAAGCATTTTTACGACCCCATCCAGTCACAGGCACCACAACAATGTGCTTCTCAGTCATCTGATTACCTTGAGCCCATCCAGTGGTGACTTCATGTTTTCCAATAAGGCCATTCAAACCCTGCTATACAGATGGGCAGCCCCTCTGTCCAAATCCATAATTCCAAATGGTCCCATTCTTCTCTCTCCCAAATTCACAACTGGCCAGCATGACCGCATCAAGAGAGAGGGCCATGCGTCAAATTATTCTCATTTTGGAAAAACCTTGCTATTTTAAATACCTAATTACAAAGAGCCCCCTGATGGCGCAGCGAGTTAAACCGCTGAGCTGCAACTTGCTAACTGAAAGGTTGGTGGTTCAAATCCAGGGAATGGGGTGAGCTCCTGCTGTTAACTCCAGCTTCTGCCAACCTAACAGTTCAAAAACATGCAAATGTGAGTCGATGAATAGGCAACGCTTCTGCGGGAAGGTAACAGCACTCCATGCAGTCATGCCAGCTACGTGACCTTAGAGGTGTCTACAGACAACGCTAGCTCTTCGGATTAAAAATGGAGGTGAACACCAATCCCCAGAGTTGGACACAATTATACTTCATGTCAGGGGAAACCTTTATTTTTAATTGCAAAGAACGGGGAGAGATGGCAAGGTAAAGGTTACATTCCATAGACAACACATGAGATCCAGAGTCTGGTGGAGTCTCCTTCTCTGGAAGTTTTTAAGCAGAGGCTGGATGGCCATCTGTCATGAGAGCTTTGATTGTGTTTTACTGCCTGGCAGAATGAGGTTGGGCTGGATGGCCTTTTGGGGGACCCCTCCAATTCTAGGATTCTATCATTCTTTAAAGTCTCGATTGGAACCAAATAAACTCTGAATTTTCATTAAAAAGACCTCTTCTTTTCTGAAACTCCCATAATTCAAATGCATGTGTTTTGATCACAAATCCACATTTTGCGTATTTTGATAGTTATGGTCCCGAAGGTACAGTCTCCAAAAGAGCGGAATAAATATAAGGAACGGATTACTTTAGCATCGCCTGAACATTTCTATCTGGATTTAGTCTTAAATGTATCAGGAGTGTACATGTGGCATGCATTTATTTGGGATGTTTTTGTATTAATTGCAAAATTTATCTACATGTCAATTTCAAGACAGCGTAGAATAAAGCCAACGACAGATAACAACGATATGCTTCTTTCTGTGTTCCAACTCCATTTCCTGGCAGCATGGTGTTTCCAAGAAAAGAGACTCTCCGCAGGTTTGTTTGCTGACCCCCAAAATGCCCTGTTAATCTATGGATGCTCTGGAGTAACCAGACCTCCAGCATATGACAGCAGTGCTGAAAGTTGTTTGTAATGGAGCAACACAGAGAGATTCCTATTTGTTGCTGGCCAGCTGCTCCGCTACAGATGGAGAAAGGCTATTTTTTTACTTCCCCTGAGTTAAAGCAGGGAATGCTGCAAACACAACACTCAAACAAATGCTATACATTCACAAGGGCATCTTCTGAGAAGGAAGCTTGCTTATAAACAGAGTTTCAGCATCTGGTTGAAATGTCATGGCCTCAGATAGGAAAGGGAAGGGATTGGGGAGAATCTAAATGAAAAGCCTCATGTACTGTCAGATGCACCACTAAAAGAAGGAGCAAAAAAGGGAAGAACTCTGGTAGCATGAGATGCAGAGTCAGCCTTAAGAAATGGGGCCACAAAATAGAGTCCATGACATGCGAGACAGACAGACAGACAGATAGATAAAATGAATTTGGCTGGAGTTACACTTTAAAAATATGCCTGTTCTGACTTACATACAAATTCAACTTAAGGCCAACCCTACAGAACCTCTCTTGTTTGTAACCTGGGGACTGCCTGTATATGGAAAAGATGGGAGCTTCCTCGGGTCATCTGAGGATGATAAAGTAAATATCCGCATACAACAAGAAATGCGTAAACAAGGCCATTCTTATTTTGAAACAAGTATGCTACAAGGCGTAAACCAGGCTAAGGAGGTTTTCTTTCTCTGCTTCCTTCTTCAAAGAAGAAACCCTTCTAGGAAACTTTGTAAACACTTTGCAGTGTCCTATATAAACAACACAGGCCCTCTCCTGCAGACAGTTTCCTAAAAGTAGAGTTTCTTATACAAAACCAGAACGATTTGTCAGACAAAAGCAATTCATGACTGTTTCCAAAAAACGGATGGTTTTCCCCCAACTTTCCAGCTATGAAAATATGAGCATTTTTCACCCAACAGACAAAAACCTCTTGGCTGCCGCCACTTCGCTTTTTCCATCTTTACCTCTCTTTGTGGCCTCTTAAAATAACTTCGCCCTAATCCTGCAATGGTTTTCAGAGGAGCTGCTAGAACCCCATAAAATCTGAAAGTCAGAAGTTGACTTCTAAAGGCCATCTGACATTAATCGGCTGCTTTGAAACAATGGCAAACCCCACTTCTGTTTAAATGGGGGTGGGTAGTAAAAAGGGTATCGCCGTTTTCACACCTAACTTATGTAGCTGTCTTTGGCAGAAAATGAGAGTGCCAGATGGAAATTAGCCTGTATTGATGTGGATATTTTATTTTTATAAGAGTGATGTTTTATAAGACGATCCACCAACAAACTGCCCCTTTGTACCTCTCCCTGGTCCATCATTTCATACTCTACTTTTATGAGTACACTTTCTTCAATCTAACAATTTCTGCCTCTTGGTTAAATAAAGAGGCAGATTCAGCCGTAACCTAGAGATATAGCCA